ATAATATTTTCGTAAAAAAATTAGCTTGATTTTTGGGAACAAGAATTAACTAAAGCACATGATGCCCAAGTTTTACTGTACTGTTTGCGGCTTTAATTAATGAAAATTATGGCAGAATGATTGAGTCCCAAAATCATGATAAATATTGACACTATTTTTCGCAGTCAAATTTAATTTGTCCATATTTGTAACGAAAGGCAAATAAAGAAATTCGATTCCCTTTTGACGACCACAAAGCCACCGTTTTATTGGACTGTGCGCCGACAATTAAATGCTCAATTTTGTTTACTTAATTTATGGACCTATGGACCATTCGTTGTGGGATGAGGGAGGTGGGCGTGGCAAATGCATGAGCAAAATTAATTGCAGGTCCTTTGCTCATTTCGTTTGTTGGCCACATTCGCCTTCCGCTCCACTTGCGCCTGGAGTTGCGGCTCTGTTGCCACCGGAGTTGCCTCAGATTTAGGTTAGTCGTTCACCTTAAATCAGTTAATGTTAATCAGGGTGTTGGTGGTGTTTTGAGGGGCGGAGGCGGAGGACCTGTCACTCAGTCAATTGCTTCCGTTTCCGTTTGACGCTTCCCATCCGGCGCAGGATGAGCAAGTGGTCTGGTTATGGCTGCTGTCGGCATTGTTGTCGCTTCGATGGATCTGCGACTATACTTCCACTGATCAAAATAATAGTAGTGACTTACTTGCATAAAAAAATTAAACAGTGAATTTATTTCTTGAAAATTCCAGTTTGATATTTATAAGAGCCGTTTCATACTTCCTTAAACTTTTATAAAATTCAATTGGCTATATAATATATATATATATAAGAAAAATATTATTTTCAGTGCAGTTCAATATGAATTTTCACCAAAACAAAAATTTAAAAATAATTCCTTTGAAGCTGAATGAAAGCTTAGCTTCTTTTTGCCCTTTTCTTCAACCTTGGGAACTTTACTTTAACCATAATTATGGTAATCTACGAGTCAGGGAAGATTGTTCTCAGTGCTCATCCACATACTATATGTACTCGTATATATGTGATTGGGTCAGTCGGGAAGGCAGCGAAGCGTTTCAACCCCAACCCCTGGAAGCCAGCAACCCTTCGCCAAGCGATTGGTCAATAACCTTAATTGCTCATCAATTTTCACAGCAGCAACAGCAGCAACAGCGACAATAGCTACACCAGTGACAAGAGCAACATCGCAAAGGCGCTAATCAGTCAGCACAGCAGCAACAAATCTGTCCCAGCGGTCGATGTGTGTCACTATGCTAGATATCCGAGTCTTTGGGTCTTGTGCATTTAATCAATATTTGGAAAATGACAACAACAGCAGCAGCAGCAGCGACACACTCACTAATCCCGGCGCAAATTGAAGCTGACAAAGTGTCGGAAAAATGTCAAAAAATGCGGACAACTTTAAAGCATCAATATAAAACTTATGCAACAGGCCAAATAAAAACCCATTTTGTTCTGAAAGTAAATACTAGAGTGCACAAAAAGTTTTGCCTTGGCCTTGTCAGATGCTGATGTTGATGTTGATGTTGTTGATGTTGATGCTGCTGTTGTCGTGGCCAAAATAGGATTTTTGGGGTGACACTCTGGCAAACAGTGTGTTTGGTCGAATGACAAAAGGCGACCGCCGAAAGGGGTGGCAAGAAACTGAGCCGACCGAACTTGCATCAAAACGAGGCTGTCACAACAGCAACACCAGCAATAATAGTTCATATTGCAGCTGCAACACAACTCACTTAGCATCAAAAAGCATATACGGTTCGAAGAAAGTCCCCAAGCCAAAGTAAAGCAGTATTACAAACATATTTATTTTACGTCTAAACGTACTTCAAACTAAGTGAATATGAATGAAATCAGATTCAATTTGTACAAGATTGAATATCAAACACAGTCAAATAACTACTAAATAAAGGAAATTAGCATATGAGCAGCAGCAGCAAAAGCAGTAATTATTTGCATGGCACCTGCAACATTTGCCAGTAGCTAAAAGGTTTACGGTTTACATATACTTACTAAATTTACTTAATATTTAAGTATTTAATACGCGCTTAAAAAGAATTATTAAAATAAAACAGAGCCACTACAATGTAAGTAGATTATATTCACGTGATATATTTGCAATTGAATAATGAATGGTTTAATTAATGCGTTTTTTCTTTTGCTATACATAATTAAACCAACAGACACACTTAAATGTTTTGGAAACGAAATGTTTTATATTCAAACCGCTTAGGACTGCCCTCATTTTTGAATAAGCAACAGCAGCACTTAAATTTACACGCAAAAGCAAAAAAAGGTTTTAAAATTCTCTACTAATTTTTTTGGTGACTCAATTAATTAAAAGGAACAACACAGCTTTTGCTGCATTTTTATTTACAAATAAGACAGGAGAAAAATGTGGAAAAATGCAGGCAAAAATAAGGGAATCTAGCAGCAATACACACATGCGAATAAAATTAGCAACTTACACACACATATGACCGTGAATTTACATATCGCCAACAACACTAACAACATGGACGCGTCTGTGTCTGTGTACATTGGCAAACATTTGACAGTTGCAACAGCAGCAAAATGCTACTCAAAAAATAACAAAAAAAATTAATAAAAAAGAAGAAAATAAACTAGAAAAAAGGACAAAGTAAACTGCCAAAAGGCACAACACAAACAAAAAAGCGAACATTTTGCTCTACAAGAAACAAAAAAATTCAAAAAAAAAAAAAGGGAAAAATAAAAGAACACGAGAAAAGTGTTGCCAACATTTGCAGCGCATTTAGATGAAAACTTTTGTGAAAGTTTGTAAACTCTGTTTTATGTTTTTATGTGCTGAAATAGAGAGGGCAAATGGCTTAATTCTATGCCAAATTAAAGGCGCTACCAACAACTTGTTGGCATTAAATTAGCATCGTTTTTTTGTGCAGCCAGAACGAGATTTAATTATGATTTTTATTAAATTGTCTGTTTGTAAAACACAATGGTAATCAAATACTTGTTGCTTTTCACGTAAATTAAATAGTTTTCTATTTTCCGTTCCAATTAGGTTTTTGCGTTGTTTTTTCGGAATTGTTTGTTTTTTAGGCTTATAATTACATTAACGGATTAAAAAATGTGAATGGATGTTGCTAATTCATTTAAATGACTTGACTTCATAATTCTTTTGGCAGATTGCACATTTTCCACTTAAAGCCAACTTCCTTCACACATTTTCTGGCCCGATTTTCGTCCTTTGCCATTCAAATATCTATATCATCCGATTTTGTATGCCCTGGCAGGTTGCTTGATTGGCTTTCAAATGAACAGGGATTTTCGGCTTATTGGCTAAAATAGGAAGCCTTTTGCCTGTAATAATCTGCAGCTTTTGTTTTCCATTCACTAGATTACTCATGACTTCCATATGCATACTTAACACTATAGTCCAAATTTTGATGAAATACACTTTCTCGGTATCTGTCTTAATGCGAAATAATGGACGGTATGCACATAAAAACATTTTCGCATTCTTAAAGTTGTATTTCAAAATTGTAAAACGTTAAAAAATATAAAAAAAATATCTAATCACCGTAACAATGCATTAATTAATTTTTGCATTGAATAGATTTTCATTTTTCATTGAAGAAGACATACATTTTTGGTTAAGTTTGCTTCTATAGTTTCAAACTTTTTGTGTAATTTTTAGAAATATATGACACAATTCGATTATTTTCAGTGTGGATTTTGCCGCTTAATCTTCAGCTTTTGTTCTGGACTTCGCCATGTGCTTGAAACTCAGCAATTCCACACTTTCACAAGGTGCACTTAACAAGGTGCTCCAAGGCAAAAAGGAGTGTAGAATAGTGGGCTGGGTATTTTCGGGAGGGGCGGTGAGTAGTGGGTAATGGGCGGGGTCGGGCATTGTTGGCCATACCCTTTTAATGTGGCACAATCATGGCACGAACTTACCTCAATCACATGTGGGAATTCAATTAAATAAACGAGAGATGCAGCGAAACGAGCTGGGGCTGTGCTTTTTGGGGGAGGTCTGCAATAAATGCTTGGATTTGCAGGCAAGTGCAACAACAACACCGATAGCTATATCCCATATCCCCATATATATATCTATATATATATATATATGTATATGTGTGTACATATATAGCTACATGCTCCTGCACGCACACAGACAGACAGTGGGGATCCCCTAGCGACCGGAAGTCACTTTTAGCTAACAACGGAAGTTGCAAACGTCTGCTGGTTGTTGTAATTGCTACTCCTGCTTGCCATTGGGCCACACAGCGAGAAATTTCTTGTATTTCTAACTTTCAAAAGTAATTATTATTATATAAATACAATCAATAAAGTTAACACAAACACTAGTAAATTAATTTTTAAGCACAGGAAAATTATCGAACATCATTAAAATAAAAGAAATAAAATGATTTTTACAAAGAGATGTGTAAGTGTTAAAAGTATATTTTCTTAAAATAAAATTTATAGAAAAATGTAAATAATTTATTAGTTTACAAGTTATTTCGTATTAATCATAATTTAAATTCCAGTGCATAGATTTCGGGCATATGCTCTCTGTAACTTTCATATTCAGAATAATTAATAAGACCTGGCCAAAATCCCAAGCTGAAATGGAAGATCCTTGCGTTTTTGTGGCTGTGCAAATAAAAAAGTTAATTTTCCATTGGTCATAGCCGCTGTATTTGGGTCTGCCAAGGAAGAAACGAATCAAGGATTGGCGATGGCCATCAGGCGTGGATTGCTGCCGAATGGAGACCATCAAAAGCGGAGATAAAATATGACTGCTGTGTTTTATAATCGTCTGTGAGCAGCAGCAACAGCAACAGCAACATGGACAGCATCAACAGCATCAACAGCATCAACAGCAACAGCAGCAACAGCACGGCAGCAACATCATCATCCGGAGCAGCCGAAGTCGCTCGTTTCGGCTCGTTTTTACATGGCCGAGTTGAGTCCTTTGGCCAGGACCAATGTATTCCCTTAGTCGAGTGAAAGTTCTTCAGCGCAACGGACGTGCCAGCCAGGAATCTAAGCCAAAATCCATTTATTTTTTTGGCGCGCTTTCAAAGTGTTGAATATTTTAGTTTAGTTTATTTTTTTTTATTTTTTTTTTGTTGGTTTTGATTAAGTGAAGTTGGTTAAAAGTAAAAATGAGGGATTATCCTTCGGTGCCCAATGTGTTTCGCGTGGCCTCAACGCACAGCATAAACAGCGAGAGTCCCTACAACAACAACAACAACAACAACAGCAACAACAGCAACTTCCGGCCAGCGAATGTCAACTGCAACACCATCGAAAGGCAGCCAATGTCCATCCACCAGTTGACCACCAGTGCATCCATCGAGCACAGTCACCCATCGCAGCAGCAACAGCAGCAACAGCAGCAACAGTTGCTGCACCCCCAACAGCAGCAGCATCAACACCAGCAACACTCGCCGTATGCAACATTGCCGCGGGGCCAGCGATTTGCACCGCAGCAACATCAGAACGCTGGCGTGATCAACACGATATCCGGGAGTATTCCAGCCACGGGATTTGGTTCTCTGGCTGGCAGTTTTAGCGATCTGCAGCTGAACAACATCACCAGCATCAGCAATCACAATAGCAAGATCGCGAGCAACCAAAACAACCGACGACAGCAGCAGCAACGGCAACCACAGCAGCAACAGCAACAGCAGCAGCAGCAGCAACACCAACAGCAGCGACAGGTGGCCTCTTTAAATCGCCATCAGTCAGCCAAAGAGATGCAACAGCAGCAGCATCAGCAGCAGCAACACCAACAGCGACGGACGCAACAGCAACATGTCCAGCCACAGCAGCAACATCGGCTGGCCGCTGGTGCTGCTGGTGCTTCCGATCCGCAGGGTGGCAATAGCAACATGACCACCATCAACGGAAGCTACCTGTGGCTCCTTACACCTGTTGCCGCCAGGTTAGTACGTGATCAGACTTCTTTATTATCAGACCTTTAAATTGTTCTCCTTTTATGCTGATATTTCCACATGTCTTATATACAAATATTTTCAGTTCTAGTTTCTAATGGTTAAAAGTGATAACTGTTACGATAAATAAATTGAGTCTTACTTTCTTAAAAGAAATAGAAAAAATGCAATACTGTTAATGCTTGAACCTTCAAATAAAAGTTGTATTTTGTTATTTTAAATAAATGTTGCTTGTGGTATAGTTTTCTTTTCATTAAACTTGGCATTTTGTTTGCTACAAATTTTGCGCAGAAGAATTTTCAACTGAACACTTAAACATTTAATTTAACTTAAATATTTTTAAACTACTTAAAACATTTGTATTTATTAGTAGGCAAAAAGATCTAGTATTTGATTCTACTTATTTGTTAGTATTTTAATGCAAATATACTCTATTTTTTTTACTATTTGTTTACTTTAAAAAAATCTACTAATTACTTGTACTTAAAAAAAATTTCCCAAGGTTTGTGCCAGTTATTACGTTTTATTTTTAGCCAACTTGCAAGTGTTGTTTGTTATTCAGCACGACTTTAGCTGACTTTTTATAGAGATTTTCCTGCGGACAGTTTAAAGGGTCCAGGTCCAATGTCACAGGTTTTTCACAAAGGAAAAAGCTGAAAATTCCTTAAGGGAAGAAACTAAATAGTCGAATCCTTTAAATTAAATGCCAGCAGCTTGAATTCCTGCAGAAATCGCGAGCGTACACACACACAATTTCTGCCCATCCCATTTGATTTTTAAAGGAGCTGAGGTAACAGGTTTCACGTGCTTCGCAGCAACATCCACGGACTAACTGGAAAAGGCAGCTCGTCCTTGTCACAGGAGCAACCAGGACGTCCACATCCATACGTCCTTGCGCCTCCTTCATTCTTGTTGCCTGACAAATAATTGTGTTAGCGACACAAATCACTGCAAAGTGGGCTTAATTTGTTCGCAAACTATTTCGCACGGAAGTGCACAGGGAAAAATTACCACAAACCAACCATTTGTTTCTTTCAAATTTTTTCTGAAGGAATATTTTTTGTTGTATTATATTTAAATGAATTCTGAAGTCGCTTTTGTTTTTTTTTTTTATATTTATTTTTATTTTTATATTACAATACCAAAAATATTTGTTTGTAAATTATTATAGTTAAGTAACCACTTAAAATACAAAAAATATTTTCAAAATATTCAAATTTGTATATTAAAGAGCTATAATTATCATTTTGAAGCAAAACAAAAAGCATTTTAAAATGCAAAATATTTATTTGTTTTATGACAATACATTTATCGCCGTGTGACAGAAAGAAAAAATAAGTGACGGAGGTAGGAGGGATTTATTCCGGCATCGTTCCCGAACAAGTTGCTTAATTTCATTCGGTTTTGAATTTCTTTTTCTTCAGATTGAGTTCGCAGGCTTTGTTGGCATGCATGCGTTTGAAGCCCGCTGTGCGGAAAATCTGGCCACACTTGTCGCACTTGTGTGACCAGCTGTGGTGCCCGGAATCGCGCTGGTGCTTGTAGTAATCGCGACTGAAAATAAATATATATATGTGGCAAGATTATAACATTTATCAAAGATAGGAATATATATGAGTCTATTAAATAAACTTAAAAAAAATGTTACTTATCCAATTTAAAGTTTTTTTGGTTAATTATATTTTTTAAGTCCAAAAATAAGTTTTCCATCAATAATTGAAACTCAATTTAAAATATTGATACCAGATATAAACTTATTCACAATCTCTCAATGAAATTTTATCTAATTAGTACGGAACTACGTACGTAAACGACAAATCAATGTAACATTACTTATAGAGTATGTTAAGTATTTAGCTTTTACTATTCCAAGTTTTCCACCTGGTGATATTTATTACGGTTTAATGTTAAACTAATGAACTCACCGCAGTACAAATATCTCCTGGCAACTTTTCACTGGGCAAACAAAGTAGCGAGTGTTTGTCTCATAGTCCTCCAAAAATGAGTTTACCGTGAAAATAAGTGGGATATTTTCCTTGTCCTCGTCGAGATCGGAGATCGGAGGTGGGTAATGGTTCTGTTCCTGCTGCAGGTCCATAGACAAATTGTGGCCTACGTCTTTGGTCATTTTCTTACGCCTATTGGCCATCGCATATACGCAGTCCTGCTTGCCCACCTCTTGCAGTTGTTCGAATTTGGTCAAATTGAGGACAACATCTGACACCGGCACCGATTCCGGGTCGCAGTAGCCCACGACATCGATGAGTTCGTATTCTTCCGAATCCTTGAAGTCATCCGTCTCCTGGCTATCATCCTCATCCTCAACCTCAACCTCAACCTCATCCTTAATGGGACAAGGAAGTCCGCCAACTTGAACGGCAAAATTGGAAACGAATTTGGCCATGGTGGCGGCGGAGGGAGGACGACCACGACGTGGCATACCATTGTGGCTAAATTCGTGAGTGGCCACCGCCGGATCGTACCTGGGCATCAGGAGCCTTTGAATCCTCCGCTCGAGATTGCGGCGCACCGCTATGGGCAGTGTATGGCTGGACAGCCAGGATTCGCTCAGCAGCTGCTCCCGCGAATGATTGGCCACCTGGCGATAGGACTTCAAGCGCCTGTCGCTTGAGGGAGTGAAGGCCATCAACTCGTCCGGCTCCACTGGCCGCTCGTACAAGGGTAAACTCGGATGCAGTTCTCTGGCTGCTAAAAAGGGAGTCAGACAATGGGTCCCTTAAGTTCTCTTCCAAGAAGCTAACCTCTTAAACACTCACCTTCATAGTTATCGTAGAACTCATTACGTTTATTATCGTAGCGATTCGAAAACATGCTGCGCATTATTCCTTTTTTTTTTTTTGTTTAACAGCACTTATTAAGCGGATCAAAAATCTATCCACAAAATGAGGAAAAATCAGAGCTGCTAGTCATCAACGTTCAACGTTCGAGTGAAAAGAAAGAGAGCAAACAAATCAGAACAGCAATGTCATCAGCATTTGACAGATGCCGTGACAACATAAAGGCCAACTATGGAAACCCTAAACCCTTTATATCGATACCTTTAGGGTCGACTAATCGTTTCATTGGCTACTGAGACCTTGACTAGCCTTTAGCATTTTGCCAAAATACTAAGAAACACTTTCAAAACGAAAAGTAATACATAATTAAATAAATAATTAAGGAAGCATTTCTGGCAGTTTCTTATTAGACCTATTTCATGAAGAGTTATTTAACGATTTAAATAACCCTGAATGAAAACCTTTAATTATTCTGACTTTTATCAGTTAAAATAATAAGGCCTGCTTGTGCTAAAAAAAAACAATGTTGACGCACAAATCAATTGTTAATTTTTTAAAATAATATTGAGTACTATAACAACACATAAAATCCATATCGGCACTTGTGACTACGCTCGGTGCCGAACTGAGTAAATATTGACATTCGAATGCACTCATGAATGTATTCACAAATACCTGGGCGACGAGGTGACGACTTTCTACAGCGATCCCTCTAAAAAAAAAATCCTCCGTCCTTTGACCTTTTTTCGCATTTCCAATGCTTCTTTTTTTTCTTTTTTTTTGCACATTTTTCAGCACCAACCATTTTATTTGTGCTCCTCTTTTTTGGGTGGCGACATTTATTTGCATATCACTGAAAGTGTGTGTGTGTGTGATGTCTGTGTGTGATGTGTGTGTGTGATGTGTGTGTGTGATGTGTGTGTGTGATGTGTGTGTGTGATGTGTGTGGGAGGCCTCGCACACATTAACTTTCTTTTTGTTTTTGTGCATTTTTGGCCTCGTTTTTGGCAAATTCCCCCCAACCACAAAACAGGTTGAAGTATTTTTTAATCAGCAGCCCCACACAGTTTTTGGGGAACCCAGAGCGCCTGGGATAGGCATTTTCCATGATTACACTCAGAGCCACCAACTCACCACCCACATCGAATCTGATTTAGGGAATGCAACTTTCCCTTCTCTCAAAAACACTACAAAAAATTGACTAATACTCTGCTTTGCGCTTAGCTTATTTGTTTATAATATTTTAACATTTTAAAATATTTTTTACTTTTTAAAGAAAAATAACCTTTTTTTGTTTCAAACATTTTGGTAACTTAATTTTCTTATTTTTCGTTAATATTTGCTAAAAACCTTTTGGTACTAGTTAATATTTGAGTTAAGCAATTAAATAATCTCATTGAGACATAAAGCCTCGTGTAGATAAACTAAGTATATAAAATATGAGAGAATTTATTGAATGCCATAAAAAAAGCAAATAAATGATCTGCTTGCAAAAATAAAAATAATTTGATAGCTTGGTATTGGATGATTTTTGATGCAAGAAAATAGGTATATGGTAATTATGCCTAACCATTTGTGTTAAAAATTAAATCCATATAAAATTTAAAAGAATTTAATAAGCGTCTAGAAAAAGTACCAAATAATTGAATCTGTTTATTTTTTAAGAACTTTTTGACTTAAGGGTTAGGGAAACAGCTATATGCCATTTTGCCAAGAGTCTAATTTCCACTACGACCATTTCCTGCAGCATATCGGTGGCCATTGTCATCGCCGCTTTGGCTGGACCCCAGTGGCTCTTCACGGAGGAAAAGCTGCCCAATGCCAACTACAACGGAACGGCCAACTTTAATGCCCTGGACGATGGCGCCTACATCACCAAGTTCACCAAGTCCAGTCTCTGGATTTTGTGCACCACGCCGTCAGGTGAGTTTCAACACCACATTCCTCTCCAGCTTTTGGAGCACCAAGCACCAAGCCACACGCACATTGCGAAAGGCGGACAAATGTGGCATGGCCAACTCGAAGCGGTCAAGGTGGTTGGATTGTTCGGCTTTCATTTTTTTTGGGGGGCGGGCCAGGATGAGAAGCTACCTGGATTTTTGCGGCTTTAATAACTGTGGCTGGTGGCAGCCCGAGGACCCAGATTTCACCAAATTTAACTGCAGTCAGTCCGATGGCCAATCAATCAATCTGTCAGTCACTCAATTAAGGCCCACGCTGACATTTATCCTTTTTAATGCATTTTTCTGAGAAGGCAACGGTAACTAAAGCTACATTTTATAAAATAATTTGAAGTAGTAAATCCTAATTTATTATTATATACACACATACTAAACTTAAGTTAAAGAACAATAACAAATTTTGGCGTTTATAAATATTATTCACTTGTCAAAGACGCTTTAATAAGAAAAATAGCAAATTTTTTATACTTCAGTTTATTTAAATATAGCTATTATTTCTAATATAAACAAATTAATTTAGTAACAAAAAAAAATATTCATGATTTGTATTTGCTTATGCGAATTTTGGTTAATTATTGTTCGATATTAATAAATCAAAAAGGCAACAGATTAAAATATTTCTTAGAATTTTACTAGCATCCATTTAGTAACCGCCTCAAAAATTGATAAAACATTTTAATTTATTGGTGATTTTGTTGATTTGTTGCTTCTATTTGTGGAGTTTTTATTTGATTTAATTGTGCGGCAAACGAATGAAAGCAAAACGAACATGTGGCAACAAAAACAGGGGCCTTTTTGTTAGTGGCTCCTTTTGGGCGGCAGGATGCCTCCGAGCGACTGGATCAGTTCGAGGAGGTAGGTGCGCATCCCACTGATCTGATCATAGGCGATGAGCAGCGAACTGGTGGCGTATTCACACCTGGACACATAGTCAGCCACGTGCTCCGTCATGCACATCAGGTGGATCCCGGAGCTGGGATCGCGATCGCGGCCCTCCTTGCTCGGCGATTGGCGCTGCTGCTGGAGACAACGGCCCGTGGTCAGGACGAACTTCCAGGCTTCGAGGGGCGCTCGCAAAGTTTCCGAAACCGCGTAGGCCAACATCGAGTGGCAGTTGTCAATTGAATCGTAATGGTAGAACTTGCCATCCGGGCGTGAGACCAGCAAAAGGGACCAGTGACCGTGGGGTCTGCGATTTAGAAGCTTATTTAGGGCTCTTTGTTTTCAATTGTAAAAAGGCTTTAAGAATTTCAAATTTAAATTAAAGAATGAAAGAGTTAACAATCACAGCATTTAATTTTTAAAGTCTTGTGAAATTTGTAAGCTTTTAAAACTATAAGAAAAATAAACTAAAATAATAATGATATCAAACATTTTTTTAATAATTTTTAAAGAAAATAACAAAATAGTTTAGGTATATTTTGTGCATAACTTTTATCATTATTATAATGTTGTTAATAACTCTGGTGTAAATTAGGTTTCTCAAAAAAAAAAAAAAATGTTTTTTATAAAATTTGTTTTTAAACCTGCTAAACTTAAATTAATCATATCAATATTTCGAAAATATGGGCTTTAGTTGTTGGGCTTTTCAGGCCTTAGTTCAAATACGTTGCTTTGTTAATTTTTTTTTTGAAAATGGTGAACTTCAAAATTTGTAATCCAATTTGTCTTTTAAGTTTTTTTGTAATTATATTTTTTATCAACATCTACAGATTCATCGAGTGTTTGAGCAAATTTGTAACTTTAAATCATAATTACAATTACTTTACTTGACTCGTGAAACAAAAGGGTCAGAATAATTTGTATTGAACAATGGCAAAAAGTTGGTTAAATATTTTAAATGTAGTCAATTTTTACCGACCTTGGGTGGGTGGCCAGCGGCAGCAGGATGAACTGCTTCTCGTGGAGGCGGCGGTCGCGCACCATCGTCCATAGTTGGCGCATGTCCATGTGGCGGAGTTGGGCAACCAGGGCCGGATTGAGGAAGCACAGGTCCGGCTGGGAGCGGTACCGCCGGTGCTGCAGGTGGGCGTAGTAAAAGGCCACCAGTCGCTCGTTGACGCCCTCGTGGTCGGACTGCAGCAGCTGGATGTCGGAGTGGCGCAGCGATATGTCCATGAAGTGGAGCGCCACCAGGCTCGGCTGGGTTGCCACCTGGTGCGGTCCATCGCCGCTGCCCCGCTCCGCCAGCGAGGGGCTGCCCTTACCCTTTACCTTCACCTTGACCTTGGTCTTCGACTTGACCTTGGTGTTGGTCTGGGCCATGGGCTTCTTTACCTGATGCGGATCCACCTGCATCTTCGATGTGGTTTTCGATTTTATCGTCTTCTTGGCCAACGGCATCTTGAGACTCCACGGGAATCCGATTTATTTCGTCTGGGTGCGAGTATATCTGTCTGATTGGCTACATCTGGGTTTGGAATTGTGTGACAGTGAGTGCTCTGTTTTATATATATTATTCATTACAATAGTTTATGAAATAAATTCTAAGGCTTTACCCATTTTTTTAATGTCTATTTAACAATAAATATGTTGTTTCAGGGTAAAGCTAGGAAAACAAAGGTGTGGGTTTATTTTGGAATTGTTTGTTTTTTTCTCATCGTTAAGTATTCAAAAATCTGTGTTTTTAGGTGTTGACACCTGGAATTGCGTTAAGATCGACTACTTTCCCCATGAGGGCTACCAACCGGATCCACACGACTCAACAGCAGCAATACCCTGTAAGTACCAATCATTCATTATTGGCTATTGGCTGATAAATTTTATACGAATACGAAAAATAGTTTTCAATATATAAACAAAATAGCAGCGATGCAACACAATTTTACAAAAAGAAACACTATATACTATATTTTAAATTCCCGCTCCAAACATTATTTTTCTCCGTGTACCATTGCAATTGATGGCCTTCAGTCCATGCCGCTGGATGAATCCATCTTAACTGCCGCGTTTTAAGGCGCAAATAAACCTTAATAAGCTTAACTGGCATTTGGCATTTAACCAGGTGAATGCCATCCCCGTTTTCCTCAGCCACTTTTACCGTCCAGATGACTGGGCCAAATTGAAATTGATTTATTGTTGTTAGTTGGCCCAGAAAACGCACATGCACATAATACAACTTTAGTTGGATGAATTTTAATTAAAGGCCTTTGGCCTCAGTCGGCAAAGTTTTGTACCAATGATTTGTGGTCTTTGCAAAGTGTGGGGAGAACCGGAGAATGATGACAATGGCTGAACATTTCCAATATCCATTATAAGATTTTCGCCCACATTTCATAGCTGGCCAAATCAACTGCCTACTCTTTGCCAAAATACCAATTTCCAGAGACGGTTGAAATTCCATTAATTTTCACACAATTGCCCATCGATTTGAAATGTTCCCATTAATATTGTTTTGTTCCAGTGCTCAAACTAATTTCAAACTTGCCGCTGGTGACAATTTCAAAAAAATAAAACTATTAAACAGTCGGCCAAAAAAGGTAGTTGCCTTGGGTGGACAATTTTTTTTTTGTTGCTTCTATTTTTCACGGGTCCCTGTGCCTGTGCCCCCACTTTTTTTTTTGCTAAGCCGCAGGATATTTTGTCACTGGTCAGGTCAAAGAAAAAAAGGGAAAGGGAAATAACATTTTTGGAAAGTCTGAAAACAGGCATATGGGCTAAAAAAAAGGGCCCAGAAAAGTAACACATTTAATAAACGAAACGCACAGCAGCGGAATTACATTTTATTAGCATTGTTAAAGGACTGTTCAAACTTAAATTTCATGAAAACACCCAATAGAAATGGATAACTGACCAACTTTTATCCAACAGATACGGTCACCAAATCCTGTCCGATTTTCCTGGCTGCCGGGGTCTTTTTAGTGATCAGCTTTATAGTTTTTCTGATCCCCACATGCTCGCATCAAAACAATCTGTATTATTTTAGCGCCGGAATTCTCTTTATTGTCAGCGGTAAGTTTGCCAGTAGTTTTAAAGTTTAATTGCCCGAGTCAGTAATTATCCTGGATTTCAGGTCTCGTCATGCTAATTGGCCTGATTGCCTATATATCCATATTAAAGGCGGAAATCGGTTCCAAGTTGAGACCGCGCTCCACCCTACAACCCGCCCTCATCAAGGTCTCCTACGGCCAGAGCTTCTTCCTCTTCGTCTTTGGATTTATCGTCACGGAATTCGTTGGTGTCCTGAACATATTCCTCTTCATTAATTTGCAGGAGATCAGCTACTATAGTGTGAGTATTCTGAAAAATCAAGTTATTCGTTTTTGTTAGTGCACTCGCATTCTGAATAATCTGATAATAATATTAAATTAACACAGCTTTAGATATTACTTTTTAAAACTTTTTTTTAAATTTCAAAATCATGCAAATAATCAAATTACATTAAATCAATAAATTAATAACATTGAATAAAAGTTTCATATATTTAATAATATTTTATACCATACATACATGTTAGTAAATTTTATTTTAACAATTAAGTTGTATTTTATATTTATAAAGAATGTATGAAAATATAATATAATTTATTATATATATATTTTATATTATAAACACATTTTTAAGTATTTTTACTTTCGAAAGTATATGTTTTATTTGTCAGTACATTTTTTGTTAGTGCATCCGGGGGTCATTGTCCACCCTTAGATATGTAATCCGCCCTCTTGACTGCAGAAACCTTTCAGCCTAAATGCATGCGACGCTGGATGAGACTCCCGGGGATTAGCTGCATCTTCTTCGCCGCACTCTGTATACTTTATCTACTTTACTATTCATATATATATATTCATTTTCCTTAGCGCCTGCCCTGTTTTAGTGTGGCAACTATTCAAGGCAAGTTCAAGGAGGGTCAGCATCCACTGAGCGACTCGTACAAGCGTTACAAGCAGCCCGGCGCTATCACCGCCAGCCAGGAAGCACTCAGCGGTGGAGGTCACCAGGGGGGTCATCAAGGGGTTCACCACTCGACGCACCACCCACAGTCAGCGGTGCAGCCAACCCACGGTATCCTGAGGACCGCCAATTCGCGACTCCACCAGGTCCACGATGCGGCCCGGGGTCACCCCGGAAATCCCGTACTCATGGGTCATCCCGGACAGACTCAGACCCTGCCCGGAGCATGTCGCAAACATCCGAATGCGGGATCGAATCTAAATCTCTATCTAAACAACGACCTGGACAGGCGGTGAGCAATTCAAGGATTTCTAATGTTCTTTTTTAATCTCTATTTTGTAGCAACAATAATTTTTAATAAATAATTTCATTTTTTATTAGGTATTTATCAATGGTTTCATTAAACAAAATGTATCCAAATTAAAAAGCTTATTTGTACCGCTCAGTAATATTATTTCTTAGGTTTTAATTTTAAACCTTAATGTACACTTTTTTATGGAATATGGTTTAATTGGAGTTTGTTGTAATTAAATCCTTTCAAATTTGTACCATATAAATCCTTCCTTCTTTTGATGTAATATTTAGTATAAAACAATTTAATCTACAGTTTTTAAGGAATTTATCGTTATTGCTTAGTAAGAATTGTAATCAAAACAATACAAAAAAAAAAGCATTTATAACATTTTGAAAACCAATTACCCAAAATCACATTTTATTTAAGTATTGTTTGAGGGCTAACTAATTTCACAAATTTGTATGTTTGCTACTGCAAATTAAGATTCCGTATTATATAATGCCCATTATATTTAATATTGTATTGAGAAACCCAGCTTTTATATTGGTTATCTTATTTATTTATTATTTTGGCCAATTTAGTTCATATGTGATCATACTTACATATATATATTTTATACATTTTATATGTATATTCTATTATAGAGAATATTATAGAGAATAATTTTATTAATAAGTTATTTAATTTTAATTTCAGTTTCTACTTTGAGAAGCCGGCGGTGTCCAAGTGCAATCTGCACTCGCGTAGTTTTGCCAAATCGCTGAACGAGCTCTGCACGGAGGCGTCGGTGTCCTCCGCTCCCGTCCCCCTTCCAGTTCCCTTTCCTGCTCCTGTTCCTCCTCTGCCCCTTTCTCTTCCCGCTCCCGCTTCCCTTCCCAATCCCAATCCCGATCTAAATCCAAATCCTCTGCCAGCTCCCGCCCTCTTTGCCGATTTGCCCCAGGAATTTCCACTCACCCGATCAGTGTCCACCGCCACGGAAATATACTCGGCAGCGGCTCCAGCCTCCGGACAAATGAAAAGGAAACAGCAGCGCAACATGGCCACCAATACGAACACGAAGATCTCCAGCAATCCGCCTTCCAAAACGCAGCTGGAGGATCAGTCGCGACTTTGTGGCCTAAAGCGTGGACTGCGGAAAACCAAGGACGAGCTGTTCCAGGAGTTCTGCCGACGGGCCGGTATGCGTAGCAAGCCCAAGAACATATACTACATTAGCGGCGGCGAGGAGGCGGACGAGGAGGAGCAGCGGGCGGAGCAGGGAAAGCGGGAGGAGCTCCAGGAGGGCCAGATTCGCAACGATGACGATGACGCGGACGGGGATGACAACGGTTTCCTCCGCCTGGAGGAGGACCACCTCTACGTGGTGGGAGGTAAGATTTTGAAATGTACCCAAGCCCCTTGCTAAATATTATAATATAATAATAGTGCATTGGTAAAAAAAAAACTTAGTTATTCCAAATAGTGTATACTCAATTTATATTTTAAGTTATTTAAAATATGGAAATATTAAAATATTTTAAAACTTTTCATTTGAATATTTTTGCAATTGATTTTAATATCTAAAAATTTCATTTAAATTTAAGCCACATTGAACTCAAATAAACTGCATTTGAATTAAATAAGAACTATTTTCAATCTAATATTTCTTACATTAATTTAAATATTTTAAAATAAAATCACGCCATTTAATATGCTGTATGTAATGTTATGATTAAATGTTTAATTTAAATGTTTAATTTAAAAATAGTCAGATATTTATTTTTACTATTCAATTTTTTTATCAGTGTAGGTTTTGTACCCAATAGCTCTTGGTAAATATTTGACTACGTTCGTGCTTAGACCGGAATGGAAAATCAGTTAATTTTTTTTTTCGGCGAGCTTTGCCAAAAACTGTTCAATCTACTTTCCCATCAAGCCTAATCAATAGATGGATTTAACCCGTTTTCAGAAAAGGGGCCAAATAAATCTCTTAGCTGCTCGAAATAACGAGTAACTTAATACAACAAAAACAATAATTAACTATAGTTAACTATAGTGACATTAGCTTAATTTTCCATAATTTTTAAACAGAGTTAATATTAATATTCTAATGGGTGAACGTTAATGTTTTCTTCTTAGAAAAGGTAAAAAGGATTGTCTACCCCATTTTTGTGGTTAAATCAATAGTTTTTTTTTTGGAATTTTTGTTTACATAAATTTTCTAAAAAATTTCTAATGCATTGTAAACACCATTCATTTCTTGCAGACCACGCCCAGTTGGTGGTTCCTCGTCGCTCGTCCATGTGCGTGGACTCCTTTGGCCAGCCGCTGCGCAGACTCAACTCGAATTTGTCGCTGCACACGGATCCCAGTTACCCGGGAGTGGGCATGGGAGTGGGTGGCTATCCGGGGATGCGGATGCCATTGCCGCCGCCCGCCGATCTCGGCCAGAGTCGCACTCTACCGCGCTGCTTCCTGCGGCAGTCGTCCGATTCCCTGGCCTCCCAGGGATTTCCCTTGGCCTCCAGCCAGCAGAGGTTCTCCCAATTGATGCTGAATCACCAGCAGCAACAGCAGCAACAGCAGCAACAGCAGCAGCAGCAGTTGCAGTCCCAGAATCGATTCGTCTCCTCCACGTTGACCTTGCAACAGGTGGCGCCCAAGGGTCAAGTGCAGTGGCCCACGGCGATACCCTCGTCGCCGTCGAACTACTCGAATGGTTATCAACAGCATCCGCAGCCCATTTATCCCACTCCAACTTCGGTGGCTCAAGGAAATGGAGGAACTGTAGGTACTGTAGGTGCTGTAGGAGCTGTGGCAACTGGAGGATCCATTTCTGGACCATCGAAATTCCAGCGCGGTTTCGCCTTCGACGATCAGCAGCAGCGAAGGTCCAGTTACGTGAGCGACGCCTTCGATCTGGACGAGATCGAGCGGGAGCGACGACGATCCCACGCCAGTCTGTTTGGCATGAACCAGATCAGGGATCCCTACGACATCATCAATGGCACCGCCGTCTAGGCTGTTCCATCTCTATCAAATGTCAGATTCTAAGAAACCAAAAGAGCTAGTATTTTTTTTCGGATGTAAGGTGACAACAACAAATTTATATCTATTGCAAGAACATGAAAAAGAAAATTAAATTTAAAACAAACATATATACAATTCAAAAAAATATAGATGGTCTCGACAACACTGGTCTTAAAAAAAATTATGATATGTAAGCGCACAATTTTGGCCTCATCAAATTTATTAAAATATATACAAGTGTAAGGCGTAATTTAATCGGAAATAGGTATTACAAATTTAATAAATGCGCACACTTTTGGCCGGAAAAATCGATATGGGTTTTATTTAAATTATGTTTTCATTGTTGAGTGTTTGAGCCAAAAATTTTTAAAGGAATGTTATTTTAAAATAGGAAACCAGTGGAAAGCTTAAACAAAATTAACATATAAATGGTCTAAAAACATTGGCTTACAAAGTTAAATCGACAAAATCCTCCAGAGATCCAAAATTGATTTTTCGGAGCAGTTGGATCCACTGATTTTTTTCATAGTACTATTTTTTTCACTTTTGGGTCACCAAAAAATAAACATTCAAGTCGGAATTCAATTCACCAAGTTACAGGCTCTAGAAGTGCATTTTGGGCTCACCAAATTGCAAGCCTTGGAAAAAAATAGTTGATATGAAAATGGGGTCTACAAATTGATGATCATTAAAATAATATATTTTAAATCAGATTATTAGGTAGTTTAGCCGCAAATATTTATCTTTTTGAAATCCAAATCCAATTGATCCAGTTTGGGGTCACCTTTCTGCAAGCCATTGGAAATATAGAAATACCTATTACAAGTGTTCTCTTTAAACATATTTATTGAGTTATTTCGTTAACTATTTCACAGATTCATGCGCTTCCAGAAGTCCTGGCTGTAGGAGACCTTCGGACTGCACTGTGAGTGATGGCCCGATACAACGGCGCCCGTGACCAGATCCTGGAAAGCTTCGCCCGGCGATCTTCCGGGCAAAGTGCTCAGCGAGGAGCTGGACGATGTGGAAATGTCCAGACCGAGAACGGGTGGCTCCTTCTTTTCGCTGATTGGGTGTAGAGTGGGCGCCGTGTGGGGTCGTCGTGACAGCCCCACATCCACCACCATGCCCGATCCTGGGTGGGTGGGTGCACTCAGCGGTCTCGTGGAGCGCTTGGTTGGAATAGGAATAACGGCTGGTTTCACTGGCTGCCCTCCTCCGAAGAGCAACTGCATCTTGGCCATGGATTGCAGCAGCTTAGAGCTCGGCGAGGGCTGTTCCCGGCTGGAACTGCTGCTACTGCTGCTGCTGCTGCTGGTGTCCAGGAGCGGATGCGGGGCCCTCAGACCCAGGGCTCCTTTGGCCCGACGCAGGAGCAGGCTCATCTCGGCATTGCTGCCGCTTCGCGAAGGCTTGATATCGATTGGCAGGCGTTCCAGTGCCGGTGGCCTGCTGGGATTGAGGACTTCTGGAATTGTCAATGGCACACCAGTGGCCAGACACTCCTGCTCCGCCTTCTTCGCCTTCTTCGCTTCCTTCGCCTCCTTCGCCCTTCCAGCCGGCATAATCTCGCCCAGCAGCTTTGTCCTCGCCTCAGAGATGGCATTTGTGAAGGGATAGCTGTCCTGTTCGTGAGCCTCCTCCAGCTCCGATAGCCACAGCGGCGAGGACGCCTTGGAGTCCAGCACGGAGCCGGGAATAGTTCGCTGATGTTGCAGATCCTCCAGTTGGGCCAGACTAACTGCATCCTCTTTGCGAACGCGTCGATGCCAATCCTGAAAATTGTCCAGCTTGCTATTCATTTGGTCACGTTCCCGCAGGTTAGCGAATCGGATGCGCCGACTCTTCGGCGGATCCTCCGTGGACTTTGGAGCCGACGGCTTCGATGTTTTGGTCTTCTCCAAGTAGTTGAGGAAGCTCTGCTCCAGCAGTTCACTTTCCTGCTCCAGCTGCAGCATTCGGTTTCTAATTAATTAAAGTGCACAAATATTAAATTGCATTTAAAAATTAAATATATATAAATTCTTTCTTATGCATGCAACAAATCAAAAACTGATATGTTTATCTGTAGCAAATGTACAGATTTTATAGTTACATTTTTGGTTTTTTACCATAAAATAAAATAGAACGATTTTGCACTTAAAAAGAACAATTAAAATCTAAATTTAAAAAATGAAATAAAAACTTGAAATTGTGTTACAAATATTTGAAAGGCTTGTATTTATTTCTTGAATGCTAGAGAAAAAAACCCAACACAAAAGTCTTTCTTAAAAGTTTTGCAATATATTTTTTTAATATTTTTATGGGTACAAGCTGTTTTCTGATAATAATATTTAAAGGTTCTACTTTTAAGAGAAGCACCGAAAATCTGTTTTCAAAAATTTAAAAATAACTGGATATTAAAAATATTTTAAATTGTTAATAGGGAGGCAATTTACCACTAAATATTGCTTGTTTTTCAGCAAATACAAGCAAACGGCTTTGGGAAATGCTAAAAATTCGTAATTGAAAAACATACTTGGCACTTAGTAAAGCTTCCTCGAAGCTGGGCCCTTGGATGGATGGCTTGGCAGATGGTTTTAGTGGTGTCAATTGTAGTGGCTGCAGTGCCATCGTATTGGTGGCCACAGAATGTGTTGAAGGCTTCGAAAAATTGGGAGGAGGAGGATCAGCAGGAGTAGGTCCTGGTGCAAGTGTGGTTTCTTCAGCTGGCTGAACTGAAAGCATGTTGGAGGCAGAATCCCGAGGAATAGGCACTGCAGGGTCTCTGGAAAATCGTAGTATCATAGTTTCAGCTTAAAAGATATGGCTAATCAAAAAAACATACCTGGGATTATTTTCTGGAGGCAGTGGATCATGGGAAACAGTATAATGTCGGGAAATGGACACTTTGTCAGCTTGAGCATTAGTAACGCTGTGAATTGGATAACCGTCGGTAGCTCCTGCACGAATTTTACTATTAGACACAGATCTGTTTACAGTCGTTGGAGCAATATTCGTTGTGGAAGTGATCGCGTGCGGGAGATTACGACCAGAATCCTGTGGGAGACTGCCAGAAAGTCGAGGAATCACGGGCAGAAAGGTGCCTGCAACTGGAATTCCACCAGTTGGAGCCAGGGCCAGCAATTGACAGGGATATCCTAGACCAGGATATGGATGTGCCAACTGGGAGCTATCCCTTTGGGGCTCAGCCAGTTGGGACTTATTCACTTGTGTCTTGTTCACTTGTGGCTTATCCCCTACTCCTGCAGTGGCTTCATCTTCAATTTGGGCTGGAGCTGGGGCGCAGATCCCAGTGGAAGTAGAAGAGGACGACATGGCGGAATTCCAGTTGCAGGGAGCGGTTCCCTTCACGGAGCCCTCCGTCCACATGGGCAGAATGCGAGCAGCCTGCTCCGCCGCGATCTCCGTCTGCTGGATCTTCTCAGCCAGCTGGTGGTGATGCGATTCGTAGTGCTCCAGCAGCCGGAATATCTTCTGGACTAGATCCCGCGCCTCCACCGACGATTGCGAGTCACGTTCCACGCGTTTGCACAGCGACTGAATTGGGTATACATTTAGGCATTTGTTTGTTATTCAATTGAATTTTAAGGAGGTAATAAACGGTGCAGCGGTTGTCTTGCAGCTTATGTACAAAATCCATTTAGATATAAATTATTAAATAGAATCTTAAGGTGGTTATAAACGGTGCAGCGAATATAAACTATACAATTACATTTTAAGCAAACACCAAAATCCATTTAGATGTAAATCATTTATATTGAATTAAGGCATTTGGTTATTAGTAAATATAATTTTAAGGTGGTTATAAACGGTGCAGCGGTCGCAATTTAGTAAATGTATACGTTAATGTAAACTAATTCAATTTTATTTCAAGCAAACACCAACATCCATTTAGATATAAATCATTTATATTAAATTAGAGCACTTGCTTATTATTAAATAGAGTTTTAAGGTGGTTATAAACGGTGCAGCGGTTACCCTTCAGAAAACGTACATTTTAACTAATTCACTAATTCAAACACCAAAATCCATTTAGATGTAAATCATTTATATTAAAGCTGCACATGCAGCCGCTGCATCATTTAAAACCACCTCTAGTAATTCCCAAGTGAGACTCACCCGCCAGGAGTTCTGCCGCCTGCTGAGCCGCAACATTTCGGCCTGGTGGCGCAACTTCACCTGGTAGAGCTCGTCCAGTCGCTCCTTCTGCAGCTCCATGGCCTTGCCCAGGGACAGCTCCACCCGTTCAAGGAACACCTGGCCACTGGAGCTGTGCAGCATTTCGTAGATCCACTGTTCGTAGGATTTTCGCGGCGTTTCCGTCTGCAGGTCCGCTTGAACCCATGCATTATGTATGTGCTTCTTATCCGTTTGGGTGGGCGCATTCGTTTTGGAAGTCAACTTTGTGGGGGTTTGAGTGGACCTACTTGTCCTCTGGATCTTCACCTGGACGGAGCACTCCCTCTTCTCCGGCGGCGGTTGTTCCAGCTTCGTCCTCTCAAGCTTCTCCTTCTGTCGACCCTCCTGCAGACCCATAAAGTGGCCATGGCCAAAGCCCTCGCGATAGCCGGCGTCGAAGCCCTTGTGCAAGCCGATGGCGTACTCCTGTTCCATGGACAGATTGAGCACATTGCCCAGCAGCTGGACACAGCCACAGACGTCGCTCACGAGATTCTCCATGCGCTCCACGGACACGTACATCCTGCCCAGCGGCTGGCTGGCCTTTCTCTGCACCTTTTCGAGCGATTGCCGGATTATGGCCAAACTGGCCAGCTGCTCCGGATGAAGGCGCGGCAGGCGGGGAACCTCCACTTCCTGAACGGGCAGCTTAATGGGCCCCGATTCGGTGTAGACCACATCATCGACCGGGCTATTCTTCTTTGCCACAGGCTTATCCCTATTCGAGTCATAGGGGGGCAGTTTGGTGACCGTTTCGCCCGGATTAAAGCTTTGCCCCGCCTTCGTGAGCCGCTCCCTTTCGCGTATCTCCCTCTTCAGCAGTTCCTCGAATCGCGATGAGGATATCACATCGACGGGCGGGGCACAGGATTTGGCCAGCTGGCGGACATTCTTCAGCAGCTGACTCAGCTGCTGCTCCACGGAGTGCAGGGACTGTGAGACGCGGGCGCCCACAAAGACACTCCGGCCATCGGCGCCCAGGACCAGCTCGTGCTCCTCCGTCTGGTAGAGGCCACTGGTGTCCACCTCGGGACGGGCTTCCAGGCAGGCGGACGGCTCCGTTTGACTGGTGGAATCGCGCAGGGATACTCCAGTGGGTGGAGTATTTGCCTCCTTTTGAACTGAGCCGGGCAAGGACCTCCTGATCTCCACCAGCGATCGCAGTAGAGCCATCAGCAAACACTGCGTCTGTCCAGCCAGATCCTCCTCGTAGTGGTCCGCCACTAACTGGCCAAGTTCCGGATCTGGTGGCGCATCCTTACCACCAAGAATGTCGCTCAGCACCTGCTGCAGTTCGTCCGGCCGGAAACGGAACTCCGGGCGACTTCTGAAGTCCGGCAACTTGCCACGATGCTGCGTCTCGCTGCAAAAGACCGACAAGGTGAAGTGGCAGTTCTGCGAGTGCAGGAACTCCGCCACCAGGGTGTGCAGCATCATCGCCAGCGGCGAGAGGAGCAGTGAGTGCGAATGGGCCATCTGGACACCGGCAGCCTTGCTCAGCAGTTGACCTGGCAAAAAAAAAAAAAATCAAAAGGATTTCATTACAGGAAACTCATCGAAATTGGGCATACAATGTATCACAAAGGTGGTCAGTAAATATATTAACAACAAATCATCATTTGCTGGCATATAGCCCACATTCTTGAGATATATCAATATTAATGTTTGAGTATTTTTAAAATAATTTTGGTTAACTGTTGCTTTATCAAAAATATACAAAGTATAACAAAATATAAATATATACAAAATATAAAAGTGGTCAGTAAACAAATTGAGAACAAATTATGGAAGGCTGGCATACGTAAATCCCACTTCCATGAAGTATTACAATATTAATTTTAAAGCATTTTTTAAATTATTTTGATTAATTTTTGCTTTATCAAAAATATACAAAATATATATGCATACAAAATTATTGTTATATTTTTATACAAATAATATGCATATCCAGAGAAAACATGGGTCTAACTTCTAAGGTTTTAGGATCAAAAATGGTTCGAAAACTTTTTAAAAAGTAAAATAAAACATTTAACTAAATTATCATTTAGCTAAAATAGAATTTTTTGACTTTGATTTATCACCGACAGCTTTTATCAGTATTCCCCATGTACATATTATGGCCCATTGAATTTAATGATTGTTATATATAATAATTGTTATCAAACTTTACCTAGAGCCGTGTTATTGAAGCAGTGGATGAGTTCCACCCGCAGGTGCGAGTGCAATTCCCGGGCAATGCCCTCCTGGTCCAGCCACTGACGGAATTTCGGCTCGAACTCGTGCTCCGACAACGCGGCCAGCTCCTCGAGCTGATTCTTCAGCTGCTCCGCCTTGGCATCGTAGGCATCGTAGACATTGTTCTGGTCCTTCCTCCGGGTCTGATCCTTATTCCGATCCTGATCCAGCTGCTCCTCTGTTATAGTTGCAAGTGTTGCTTTTTTCGGTCCTTTTCCTGTGCGGGCTCCAACAACTCGCGATCCTGAAAGTAAAACGAATTACACATAAATGTGTATTATTTATTGTGAATATAGTCTTGAGTTGTGTTGAAAGTTAATAATATAATTTATTTTCTAAATGATTTCATTTTGTACTACACATTAAAAAAAACGGTAAATTAACTTAAACCATTAAATGGCTTAGAAGCATATCTGCAACAAACCTTTTAAATTCCATTATTTTGTAATGTATAATATATCAAGTATAATAAAAAGAGAATATTAAACATAACAACCAATCAAAAGGATTTGATTTATGTTCAGTTTATCCAGGAGAATTATTCTCAATTATTACAAATATTTATATTATCTGAATTAAAAATTAAATTACAAATTGTATTTCTTAACAGCTTACTTTAGAAAATTTTTAAATAACCTTTAAGAAAATGTAAAGAACAAAATGTTAAAGGCACTTTCAAATTTAACCCTTTTGAAAAAGGTTAAAAAAGAGTTTATCTTTTGACCCAACTATATATATGTACATACATACATAGTAGCTTGTTCTCAAATATTCGATTCATATTTTTTATTTTATATGTTGCTTATAATGTTGCTTTCATTATTTAACAATTATATTCTACCGGCTTTGTATTTTAGGATTTTTTTTAAAAGGCAAAATAGATTTGAAATGAATAATAGGAAAAAGGTGATTGAGTTTATTAGCTCACCTGCGGCTGCAGCAACACATGATGCTACTGAGGGCTGGTATGCTCTGCCGATGGCTGCTGCCGCCGCCTGCTGTCGCTCCCTGGGCAGCGGTGTCCTCCGCTTGACGACATCCCTGTCCGCGCTCATCCGCTGTCGCACGCGGCGTGCTGCCGCCGCCACCGCCGCCGTGGCCCGCTCCCGCTTCAGCTGCTCCTCCCGTTCCCGCTTGGCGGCCTCGTGCTTCAGTTCCCGCTCGCAGGGCATCCCACCGCCCAGCCGATCGCCCACATCCCGCTGCTTGGCCCGGAACGAGGCAGTCGTCGTCGTCGTCGTCGTCCTTGTCGTTAGCGGCAACTGACGGGTCTTCATCGGAACCGGGGATCGGACTCGGGAATATCTCGCTATATGCGTAAATATTTATCGGGGCTATATACTTTTGACCGCCTCGTGGCTTAGCTGTGTGCGAGTAACTGAAATTTTCGGACGACTCGAGCGCGCCACACACTCACCACCGGCGAAATTGTGACAGGTGCGTCGAGGCCTGCGTTACCACCTGGAATATGGGAAAATAGCTGGGAAATAAGGGAGACGGTGGGTCGACGTCGACCGCCGGGGGTTGGTCCTCCACAACGTCAGCTGTCATGGTGAAGGATCGCCGAGCTGTGGCCCATTTTAGAACTAAATTATAAAATTACAAAGCATCCATGAAACGAATAATTCAGCTCTATTTATGGGCATTTCCTACGCAAGATAAACATTTTTCGGCTTTGATCCACTTGGTTTAATGTTATTTTAAACAAATAATATTTAATTTGACTAAAAAAACTTAAATAAATGTATAAAATAGATAACTGGGTTAATACTCCGTATTCATAAGCTTTTAATTTAATAGTAGCTAAGATGATAGCAATTAGCTTTTGTGAGTGTGGTCTTCGATATTTTTCGGCTGACAATAAGCTGACTGTTATGAGATGACTGCAGTGAAAAGTTAAAAGAGTGCAGGAACTGTAGTGATAAACGTTGGAGATGAAAAACAGCCGTGATGACTTGCCAAACATCGATAAGCCGATATTTTGAAAACATCGATAACTTCGGTGTTTCTCCACCTCTAGTCGATGTTTCACCATCTCTAAGTTGACTTCCCCGATTTAACAAATTTATTTTGATTTCTGTCAACTAAAGTTAACGGGTTTATTTCTTTCATATTCTGCCTATCTTTGCATTTGTTAAGCTTACAAGTTCCCTTTTCTTCAAGTTAAATATAGGCGCGCCACCGAAAAAAGCGAAAATCGCTGACTGCGCATCTTTCTTTGTTGTTGCGCCCAAAAAACACATGTGCGCCGTGGAAGAAGAAGAACAATAACATATCACATGTAAATATTATGACTTTCTTTGTGACGTGGGTGTAAATATCTATATATGTAAATATCTACTCGATCTATTTCATCAGAATTTTTGCATCGTCATCGGGAATGTCGGACCTCGACAACATATTCATCAATGTGCGGGCACGCCTCCAATCCGAGGGCGTAAAGCTCTGGGAAGAGCCGTACTATTCCGAGGAACTCGGCAGCATCGAGGGCGCCCTTGAGGTACGAAATTCGACCAAATCTGATCTATTTTAATGATTACAAATCGAAAAGTTCTGGAATCTTTTCGCGAAAAAAGCTTTCCTTAGAAAAATATCCTTGACATGCCAACATAAGAGTGATTTAAAGTTTATTTGCCATAGTGACTCAAAGCGATAGGACTAAGTATACATTTTTTTAATGATATTAAACTTTAATGGAAATACTTATTTCTTTTTACCTATATTTCTGATATGACTTCTCAATAATATTTTCTTCAAGTTTTTCCAACTTAGAAAAATATGACATTACTAACATAATTTTTAATTTGGTTTTCAAAGCATATGTTTGCAGTTTGTAAAATTAAAAATACCCTTATCTCTGGCAATACTACTTGCACTATCTTTATAAGCAGTTATTTTGTGATCCATAATTTAATTTTTACAACATGCAAACGTACTATAATTTCACATAAAGATTAGATTTTTAAATAATGATCGGTAAACTCTTTATTACCTAACAAATATGATTTAAAAGATAGAAATTCAAGTGTAATATATTTCTTAGAACCTTGCAAATGATTTATGATGATTTATAAAAAAGCACATTTGAGTGAAATAATAGTAGTTGTTAAAATAATTACAGATGAAGTTCTTTATTGTATATGCGTATGTGGAAAAACAATATTTTTCAAAATTAATTTATTAAGTTACTTATTTCTCTATAGAACCTGGCCAAAGAGTACTCTCGCTCACTGGGCTTCAATATGAGCCGCTGCAAGTTCATTTTGACGGAGCTGCAGGAGAATGCCCTCCGTAAACTGGCCGCCCGGCGTGAGTTCTCCGCCACCGGATTGGCCACGTTCAAGGTGCGCCGGATTGACAACCGCAGCGGCACCACCAACATGCTGGACATTAAGTGTGACCTGAACGCCTTGGGCTCCGATCTGCAGGCGATCATCGCCGAGAAACTCCAGTTGCCGGATAAGAATCACGTTAAGTGCATCGCTGCCGGAAGAATGGTGGCTGCCAATGCCACTCTGGCTGCCCAGCAGCTGAAGAACAACCAGCAGTTGATTGTGATCGTGGGCGATGGGGATAATCACAGTGAAGCCCTCTACGAGCGGATCAATCGGATCAAGGCCGATGTGCTGGCAGTGGTGTCCTCGCAAAATCGCCTCGTTGAGGTGAGTTAATGGGAAAACCAAACTTGCACTATCTTTCACCAAATGTCTGAGATTTAGAGAAAGTATATACATATATACTTATACAATTTTAATGTTTTAATTAGTTAATGTTCTCTTGTCAAGATAAATTACTAAACAACAAATAATGTTCAGCATTTGCCTAAAAACTCTTACATTATTAGTGAAAATAAAAAAAAGGAAGGCAGTCAAATATCTATTTGTTAAATATGAAACCTGAATTAATGTATGCAGTTTAGGCCCTTGATTTTCTTGAAAAAAATACCAATTTTAATAATTATTATTTATTATTCTTGCCTTTGTATTAATTTTGACATCTGTATAGAACTAGCTAGGAAAATGAAAGTTTTATAAACATTACAAATAATTCATTTGGTTTAAATCAAAATTCTCCTATCGTGACTATGCATTAATTAATAGGTCTTTGTACTTACATTAAATAAAATTCAAATACGAGTTTGCCAAGCAAATTAGTTATGAAAGTTCATATTGAGTAGACAAATTGGCATTTTACAATTTCCTCTAAGTTGCATTAAAGGTATCAAAAATCACAGACAGATAATTTAAAATATAATATTATTACTTTGCCCCTTTAGATGGAGGACCAGAATGGCAGCGCCGTCTTTCTGCCGCCCGCCGAGAATCGGGCCCTGCTCATCGGCTTGGGATTTTGCGAGAAGGCCCGGGCGGCCATGCTGCGCGAGGATTTCGAGGAGGCCCTGCTGTTGCTGCTGGAGGCCGACGAGTCCTTTGCCACCTGCGATTCGCAGTTCCTCGAGTCGGTGGACAACTATGCCCTGCTCAATCTGGATATAGTGTGGTGCTATCTCTGCCTAAAGAACGTGACCCAGCTGCCGGATGCCGAGCGTCGTCTGGACGTCTGCGGTCGCAACTTCCGTCGCAGCTATGGCGAAAAATTCGAGAGGCTGTACTTGCTGAAGGGCAAAACCTGTCCGGAACGGGCCCTGATCATGCGCCTACAGCTGCTCCAGGGCGTGGTGATGTTCCACCAGAATCGACGCGATGAGGCCTTCGAGCGCTTCGAGGCGGCCAGCATGCTGCTGCGGGAGCTCAAGGTCAACGCCGATCAACTGGCTCTCCTCGTGGAGATGGGCTTCGAGGAGACCGAGGCCCGGCTGGGTCTGCGCTCCTGCGAGAGCAACGGCAACGTGGAGCAGGCGGTGCAGTTCATCCAGGAGCGTCGGCAGCAGCTGAAGGATGCCCGCACGCAGTCCAAGGCGGAGCGGGCTCTGCAGCGCCGTCTGATGCGCTGCAATGCCAACGATAGCGATTGGGTTAATCCGCGCAGCGTCTGCACCCTCACCGAAATGGGATTCGAAAGGGCACTGGCCATTCTAGCCTTGCAGCGCTCCGAAAATGATTTACCCAAAGCGGTGAGTCTGCCTAAATATTTAAGGTACTTCCTTGTCCTATTCAAATTCATAAAAACAAAAAATCAGGATTATGTCTTTTAGAAAAATCCATTTTTTAAACCATTTTGGTTTTGTAAACTTGTCCAAACTAGACGCATAGCTAAAAAAAAGAATGTTTTCTTTTTTTTAAGCGAATTTTAGATTTTTTCATAAGGGTTTTCATTGCGTTCAACGAGTTCATAAATGTATTACATTCTGTTATCAAAATACTGATCTTTTTGGACACGAAATTGGTACTTTTTGCTAGAAAAAAGAGTATTTTTAAAAGGTCTTACAGATAGTGAATTTCGTCAACAGTTTGTGTTTAATTTTATTTATTAACTAATTAATAAAACCACTTAGCTTGCCTCCAAAAATATATATAGATTAAATAATAAATAAATATATTTTACACTTCACTATATCAAATTTCATTGGATTTTCTTCAGGTGGAACTGCTGCAGACCGAGTCCGACGCACTGCGTGCCGCTTTGCCCCAGAAGAGAGCATCCGCCGACACGGTCAAGCTGGCCCATCTCCTCCAGCTGGGATTCAACGAGGACAACGTTCGCGTGGCCCTGGAGACCACATCGAATGACATCGAGCGGGCCATCGAATGTCTGTTGCGTGCCTTTCAGAACGAAGATGAGCTGAAGCAGACCATGGATCGAGTTAGCCGTATGGTTGACTCCAAGGGCCAGGATTTGGATGGTCCCTCCACCTCGAACGCCCAGGCTGCACCGCCATTGGCCATCATCGATGCGGTTTTGAAGCACGCACGCTCCGAAATCGAGACCTACAAGGCATACGAGCGGTTCAACGCTGACCTCAGCCAAAACGATATGGACTACTTGGATCTGCCACTCGTTCAGGAGGAAAAAATTCTGGCAGAATATCTCAAAATGCTGCAGCAGTGATATTCATCCGCCTTCCTATTGCTAAATCTCCGCTCAATATTAAAAAACGAGAACCGGTTGTGGAGATAACAGTAATCATGACTTGTCTATACTGCATATCGTAGTCTTATAATGGCACTTAAGTGGCATTCAGACCCCCCACTCGGCAAATAGTAACATATAAAGTTTTATAAGCACATGCGCCTGCCCCTTCTATTGACAACTGCGAAATGTGATTACGCCGAGACAGCGGCAGAATTTACCTTTCCGAGCCACCTGAAACTTGTTAGCGCCTCTGGCAATTACTTTTTTGTTTTTTTGTTTTCTTTTTTTTTTTATTTGTCGCTTGACTCTCGACCCCGGGCTCAAACGGCAGCGCTTGATTGGCTCCAGCAGTCGTGACCTTGTCGAGGCCAAAGGGCGCCGCCCACCAAGCTCATCCCCTCTTCCAATTTAAACGGAATTTTCACGATCTTCTCTAAGCTAAATGTGCTTTACAAAGGCTCATGCTAACGATTTGTATACATTATGTATATTTGGGACATAATTGTGTATGCAAAAAACGGAAAAAATTGTAACGAAAAAAAGTAACTAAGCGATTACTTACTATATAGTTAAGTGCGGGTTAAAATAAAAGTTTGCAACGATTTTTTTTTAAATATTTACAGCAAGCCTTAAAGCTAACTTACTTTTCAATACGGATTAAAAACAGCTCGAGAAATAAGGGTTCGAAAAATAGTAGATGTGTCTAAAATATGAGGTGATTGCAATTCAATGTCGGTTTAGCGGAAGAATAGAGACTGGATTGAAAAGTTGATAATATGTAAACTTTGATTTGTTTAACTGAATAACAAAACAGGTGTAAAAATATAGTCATTCGATTTTAAGCATTACAGAATACAGAATATCAATGCGCAATATTTTAGGTTTAATAGGTTTTAGAGGATGTAAAACATATATTTTTTGAAGAATCAAATTAAGGCATGTGATACATACGTTAATTCATTAGAGAATACATTTCAAATGTAGAAAAATAATGGCCATTACATGTCCAAAGACAATTTGTTCCCACAATTTTATACTTTGAATAAACTATGTTAAAAGTACGTATGTTATTTTGGAATACCATTTCTTTGAATTCGTTCCCAAAGAAAATATGTTTAAATAGTATTTAGTATAGTATCTGAAAACCCCAGTAAAAGGCCTTAAATAATTAAATTGTTGATTGGAAAGCAGCTAAGTACAGATTGAAGTAAGCGAACGACACTTGAACCTCCCATTTCCCCATTAACCCTTCTCTGTTTCAAGGGGGTCGCATGCGTGCCGTAAGTGGGAGGTGACGTCGGCTGTAGCGGTAACACATGGAAGCCACAAGCTGAGTCAACCGACTTCCTACCTATATTTACTTCGGATCGGTCTGTAATAATGGCTTCGTTTTAATGGAAGTCAGCAGTGACTGAACCTAACCAATGAACCCGGAATGATATCAAGGAGATTTAAAACCAAAGTTAATAAAATTCACTTAGTTTTTAAGTTGTAAGAAGATATATATTTGTATGTTTTAAATAGATTGGAATATGTGATGCATATCAAGTAGCTTGTATTAAATAATTAAATTAATTTGCTTGATTTCCGTAAGTCTTTTGTTGCTATTAACAAATGGTTGATTCTATCAATCATAATTTAATCTTGTTTTCCGTGACAGATATTTTAATCAAATGTCACATGTAACGATTAATTTTTATTTAAAAGATTTCGTTATGGATTATAGTTGTGTGTTCTTTGTTTCGGGCTTGTTTATAACTTATAATTACTCTGGCTTTACTTTTTGCCACTTTAATTTTCCGATTGTCATCGCCAGTTTGCCGTTTTTGTTCTGGGTCTCGTTTTATGCCGATAAACAATTTCATAACTCAGATGTATAATTTTAATTTCATCATTTTAAGCGTTTAATTTTTATTTTTTTTTTTTTTTTACGATTTTTGCCATAATGACTTTGAGCATTATGCGCAACTGATACGCAGCCAAGCGCAACTTTTGGACATTTTAACGTGGCCTGGGTCCGTGGACATGGACATATGGACATGGAGAACCGACTGAGAATGAGAACGGTTCTGGTTGGCAAAATTCCGGGTCCGGGGAAGAAGCGGGGCAATCTGGTCGTGGTCCAAACGAGTGGGTGGTGACGCAGATCACTGGGTGCTTTTGATTTCAGATTCAAAAGCACTTGGCAATTGTTTGCGCTCTCCGACAGGAATTTCCATATGTCCACCAGTATCTAGTTTCCACTGAGGAAATCATTCTTATTTAAATTCAGTGATTAGCAGGGTCTAGATGCATTATCACTGGCGGTCTTAGTTTGATATATTTATATATTATCTATCTTAAGTATGTTTTCTTATGCCTCTGCCTAACTTGAAATCTTCGATTTTTTTTAAGAAAATCTAAACATTATGGAACATTTTTTTCAAGCAAAGTTAATAACTTACAAATATCAAATGTACAACATTTATATAGAAACTTTTTATATATATGCAATATTGTTTATATTAAAGCCTTTGCAACGCATTTAAAACTAAAATAACATTGAATTTCTAAAAGCTTAACAAGTTTAGACAGTTCAAAAATATGAACTTTTTTTTTGTATCGATTTCCCAAAAAGTTTTTGAAATAAAAAGTAATTAATGTATAATTATGAAAAATATGTTTAAAAAATTTACGCAAACAGTGTATAATATATATATTTATTTATTTTATTCTTTACATCACTTGACGTTTATTTAAAAATGTATTATTGAATCAAATCGTATTCCCTCGATTTGATTAGTTCTGTCAACTCATTGGCGTGTTTATGTCATTCTTGGGTTCCGATCCATTAGCGTAGGCCCCGGAATCGCTCCAGGCCAGGTACAAAGTGCGCGCGTTTTAGCCCTCTTTATACGGCCGACTGGCTCTCGAAATTGGCACTAATTCGTGGGGATTCAGGTTTCGGGAAGGGTTTTTATGCATATTTTGGCATCTCATTGGATATAAGTACAGTTGTCCGATGGCACAGGGCTGCAATTAGTGCTTTCCAAAAAGACCGGCTAATTAAATCTTTTTACTGCGTGTCACGCGCACGCAACTGGGAAATAAAGCCACAAACAAAAGAACAGTTAGAAGCAGTGTGTTTTTATAAAAGGGGGTTTTGGAAACACAGATATTCAAACAGGTTTTCAATAAGTGTTTTAGCACAAGCCATTAACTAGTTACAAGTTCTGACAACTCCAGGTAAAGTGTCGATTTCGATTTTTAAGATGATTTTTCAAGGTAGTGGTTGCTTTTAAATTTAGAACGCGAATTCTTCAGCTTTACGTGGCTTAAGAAACAATTTTTATATTAAACAATGTTTCCAGTTTGATTAATATTTAAAGACAGAAAAGACATGCTTTTCTGACGTTGCTTATGCCTGATATGTTATTTCAGTTACATATCCTTTAGGGAGTCGTTAGGTCCTAACCCCTTTCATACGCCCATGAGCTGAGCAGGCAACATGTTGCTGGTGTGACGATCGGCAGCAACATGTTGCCGCCCACACGCAACAACAACGAAGTTGGAAGTTGGCGATCGACGTCGACGATCGACGGCGACGTCGGTAGCGGCAGCGGCAAAACTGGGAGCGGAATTAAATAATTTTCCGTAAGCGCGTTTAGTCAAGCTCAGTTCAATTGCGGCCAGCTTTGTTGGCGGACGTCTCATGCGGCATTTACTATAAACTATACCAAAAAAAAAATAACAAAACCGAAATCTTCTTGCATTTTTTTTCCCTGTGCTAACTGTGCGAAAGAGAGGGAACACCTAGAAAAAGCGAAACCAGAAATGAGCAGATAAAATCTAAAAAAAAAAAAACAGCCGTGTGTGAAGTAAACAATTGCAGTGACCGAAAAACCTTTAAACGAAAATAAAAACAAAGGAAATACCAGCAAAGAAGAACCAGAAGCAGCGGCAACTAAAGAAAACAACAACTCGATTAACTTGGTTAGTAAGTCACCAAGCTTTTTTTTTTGTTATTATAGTTGTTTTTAAGTAGCTTTTTCATACCTTTGGCACTGCAGCAACTTGCAACATCAAAGCAGCAACAGCTGTTTTCAATTTAGGTTCACAGAAAAGAAAACTCACTAATTTCAATTAAATTTTGGGTTGGGACTCTTAATTATAAATATATAAATATAGTTTTTGCAAAAAAATAACATTTTCTAATGTAACAAGTCGAATTAAAAACATCGTCAAATTAAATTGTGTGGTATTATCTTTTAAATAGGATTTATTGAAGTCCCAAATAAATTATTACCTATTTTATTATTTAATGCGGAGTCGAAAGACAGTAAAATACTTTTCTTACACTTCTGTCAATATTTCCTTCTGTCATTTAAATACCCAATGAACAAGATAGCGTTTTTTTCATATTCTAAACACCCAATCGATCATAATTTTTTTCTCTGCAATTTTTGGGTGTTTGTTTGGTATCTGACGTTTCTGGTTTTTGAGGTTTCTTGGCACGTTTTTCGACGTTGCTGTTGTTATAAATGCTCTTCAAAAAGGGCTGGCCAAAACAAAAAGGAAGGAGCAAAACAAAAGCGTTGGACAATTTGTCCATACAAAATACTATATTTCTCACACCAACAACAGTTGTAAATATACATATGTAGTTAAAAGCCGAATGGGCAACACAAAAAAGAAGTGCAAAAGTCGCCGCGATAACCGATGAAAGTGAAAACGCTGAAGACAACAAACAAAAGGCAGTGTAAATACCCTAAATTATAAATCGTTATTTGGAAAGTACACACAAATAAGTACAGTACTTCACTTAAAAAAAACCTAAAATATGAATATTAAATTAATGATCCAAATAACATTTTTATTTTGTTTAATCAAGATCAATTATATCTTCGGCTAATACTTATTTTATGTATTTTCTTTTAAAGCAAATACAAAAAAAAAGTTATTGATTAATTTTTTGTTCATAAGTAACTATGCTTTAAGACTAAAGTTTTTGAATACTTTACCGTAAGCAATATTTAAATACATATCAACGTATTATATTCTTCTTTCTTTTATATTTTAAAATTGCTAACAACAAGCTTTAGAATACGATCGTTTTTTGCAGGGCATAAATTTAATTTGCATAGCCAAGTAATTAACACGTTGTTAGTGTTATACGGACAATTTTTCCTGTAGGGTATTCGTCATGGTTTGTTTTCCATCAATCGAATCTAAAGTTTAAAAGTTACAAAAGCTAGACGTGTGAAATTTCTGACAATTAGCCATGTGAAACATGAAGATGGAGTCTTCTCAAGTTAAGATGCATTAGTAGTTATTTTATTTATAGATCTTTTAAACATCTATCATTAAGGTGTAAAAAATGTATTACTTACTTTACTTACTTACTTTACTTTACCTACATATAGTAGTTATTTTAACAATTGCAATAATAATTTTTTTTTTGCAAGGCAAAGAGGTATAGGTTTAAAACAATTTCACTGTCAAAAGTGTAACGTTATGTTTGTTGTGATTAATATAATTACCTAATACTAATGCAAAAATTAGTTAAATTAAGTTGAATTTTTTGATGAGAGTCTTCAATTGTGCAGTGTAACGCCAGGACAGTTAATTAAACAAATAAATTGTCTATAAGTATAGTTAGAATTCTGGTTTCGTCTTCCGTTTCCTAAGCGTCTGGCGATTATCGCTGGCATTACCATAAAATCTTTTAGCATACCGCTGGCCAAGGCCCAGAGCGTTATTATCAGACTGGTTACTGGCTATTTATCCAGACTTAATTGCATTGCAAGTTTTTGCACATGTAAGCAGCGACCTTGCTGGCTGCTGATCAGGCTTAAAAAGCGAAAAAGCAACAAGCAGCCGTCGCACATAAATAAATAAATAAATAAAAAGCAAGCAGCATTTCCTATGCCCAACCGAATGGGTTTTATAAATAAAATATGCGGCAGAATCTACATGCGACTGGAAATATAATTATAGCCAACTCTGTGCCGGTTCTTGCCGACTCATGCTGATCGGTTGATCGAGCGATTCGATGTGATTCGATACGATCCCGAGCTGAAGTTTAAGTTGAAGTTAAATCAGAAGTCTGAACGGGTGGAAAACGGGTGCGTTTTAAAACGCTTCACTGCCGGCAATCGCGTTTTCGACAGCTGGATAGAAACTACCGTTAAAAGCAGTATTATAATTTTATTGTATATATTAAGTGCAAGAAATTTTTTTGTTAAACAGGAAACACTGTTGCATTTATTTAAAAATATTATTTTTAAAGTTCCTTAAATCTTTTTAAGAGTAAGCTTAAGTAAATAAATAACAATCATAGGATTCTATCATTTTTGTTTAAAAAAAATACAAAAATATATTGAAAAACGAATAGAAGTCAAAGTGTTTGCGACTCCACGCTCTTAAAAATTTTGAATTTTAATGTCATTCAACTTGTAATATATTAATCAAATCAGATTAAAATATGTTTACGTTGAAAATAAAAAATG